ACTATCTTTACTCTTTACAGTTTGGTCATAAAATTTTTAGGGATCATCATTAATTATAACATATTGTGTTCTACTAATATTGCATTGTATAATTATTGTCTTGAATAACTGAACAATTTCATTTTCTTTTTATGTTTATGATAGGAAAGTGTCCTTTCATGTGTGTGTTTGAAAGCTTAAATGAACACAATAATGAAATAGCTTGTTGCCAAATTTGCCAACTGTGGCAACTTTGGCAAATATATGTACGTAATATGAGCTATTATGACAATAAAAATAATTTCCTGCATACTGTCTTAAGAAATTACGATTACTCTAATTAAATTTGTAATTTTGTTTATAAAAATAAAGTGATGATTACAATACAGTTGACTCTAGATAATTTGACACTCAAGAGACCAGAGAAAAAGACAGCAAGAGTTTGATCAAAATTTTATTTTTTTTAATTTTATTTTAGTTCTAACAAATTTTATATTAATGAAACAAATTGACTAAATTCACATTATTTATGTTAGTTAATTATCACAATAAAAATTAACCACAAATTTACATTGAAAATGAAACTCGAGAATATTTATTTTCGGCACCAAGATCATTCATCTGTTTGTTGATTCATTATTAAAATTTTCTGGATTGAGTAATTTCTGCTAAATAAACCTTCTATAAACTGTCACTTTATAAGTTTTTAGATGTTATCTAGTTTTCATCATCATCATTCATCATCATTACAGCCTTTCACAAGTCCACTGTTGAACCTAGGCATCCCCCAAGTAATGCCACAAAGCATGGTCCTGAACCATCTACATCCATCAACTTCCTGCATGTCTTAGCAAGAAGCTTTTAAGCCATAATTTTAGTTCAGGTTCAGATGGAAACCTGTTAATTAAGAAACATTTGATTATTTAGAAATTTTATATTTTTGAAACAAATTGACTAGATTCACATTATTTGTAAGTATATAGTCAAGAAATAAAATTTAATGAAGTTATTGTAACTCAGCTACATGCCAGGAAGAGCAGAACAATGCCTTTAGGCTAGTATTTTAGTACAATTCATAAGGCGTCATATTTCAGTACTATCTGTATTAGCATACATTATATGAAAAAACCATGGCAGTATGATATTACAAAATAAAAATTTTGAGTTTTTCCTTTCCCAAATTCTGAACTTTTTGTGTTCAACACTTGAGGTATTTTTTTAATATGTTTTGTTAACATTGGTATTGTTTTATTATTATTTTTAGATTAGTTTGTAGATTATTTTTTTTATTTTTTTTATTTTAGCTTCAGATTTATCTATACATGGTTTTACTAAAACAAGAATTGAAACATCCTAAACATTGAATTTTTAGGGTTCCGTAGTCAACTAGGAACCCTTATAGTTTCGCCATGTCTGTCTGTCCGTCTGTCCGTCCTCGCTTAATCTCTGTGACCGTTAGCACTAGAAAGCTGAAATTTGGTACCAATATGTGTATCAATCACGCCGACAAAGTGGTAAAATAAAAATTTGAAAAAAATGTTTTATTAGGGTAGCCCCCTATATGTAAAGTGGGAAGTGATTCTTTTTTTTTAATTTCAACCCTAACATGTGATATATTGTTGGAAAGGTATTTAAAAATGAATAGGGGTTTACTAAAATCTTTTTTTGATAATGCCAATAATTTCGGAAATAATCGCTCCAAAAGTAAAAAACAATGTGTCCCCCCCCTCTCTAACTTTTGAACCATAAGTTTAGAAAATATGAAAAAAATCTGAAAAGTAGAACTTTATAAGGACTTTCTAGGAAAATCATATTGAACTTGGATGGAAGCAACAGTACCCACTACCGGGAGCAGTTGCGGGAGCGCGGAGCGCTGCTGGAGCGCGAACATAATGGATACCCACCTTTAAACTCATAAGTGGGAACACTTATTGTGATGGACGGGAAACTACGGAACCCTACACTGAGCGTGACCCGACACGCTCTTGGCCGGTTTTTTATTTCTCAAATGTTATGATAAGTCCTAAGAGATTTCTCTGACTTTTCACTATGATTTTTTTTTGCATCATTGGCACTGTTGATCATGAGTTTATATCTGCTTTTAAATTATGGGAGTGACAAGCAAATTAGTTTTCAATTTTGCAAGAGAATTTACTATCTACAATAAAAGACATGAAAAATATTTAAAATTTTACATAAGGTGCTTTTTCTATATTATCCATTGACACTTACTGATAAAAAGCTATGCAAGAATATGCAATGAGCATTTTTAAATTTTTTTTTAATTTAGGGACTTACTTCCTTTTGTTTACTTGTATTATTCTTGTTTTCAAAATTGTATAGGCACCCATAATTTTATTATTTTTGAATATTGTTTATGAAACTGCTTTAAAAACTTAATTTTAACATTAAGCTCTGGTAAACTATAGACGTCCGGTACTCGCGTACGGTGTTGGGAGGGGAGGGGGCTTCCCATGACCCCCTCGGTCATGGGAAGCCCCTTTCTCCCGTTGCGGAAATGTATAGTTTATGAATAATAATATTTTTTGTAAAATCATAACCTCACTTTTTATACGGGAATATTGACACAAAGTTACTTCTGCAACAGCATTGGCACTGCGGGAAGTGCAGCCCCTTCGCCTTTGCATAGCAAATCACAGGCATTCATGTTTGCCTCCACAGCTTCAGCCGCTATGGCTCACTTAGGTGCCTGCAATTTGCTACAGCGGGCAGGAAGCTGCCCTTCCTCCCATGCCTCCAGCTTTACAAAAACACTCTAGGGGTGGGGCAGACAGCACTATGTGGAGTCGGGTTGTGCTAATTCGGTTTTAGAACCAATTCAACCAGTTGTATCTATAAAGTCAGATAACTAAACTGCTATGATAGTGGTAAATGAAACAATGTAATTTTTGTTCTAATTATTCAATTTATTTTATATACATGCTGTATTGTTCACATAATTTCTTTAAATGTATCCTTTTTATATTTTTCTATATTTCGCCTCCACAAATACTCCACTTCCCACGTCTGCAAAATTTTGTGAATTATTATAATTTTGTTAAAATAAACCTCTTAACTTTTATGTTAAGTAAACCTCTTCACTGTTCTCCACTGTGACTCAATTTGCTGTGTATGAGTTCCATCTTCAGCCACAAATGGATTGTCTGGGTCTGGTCTTTTATGGGTGTACCCGTGTTCTGCCAAGCAATCATATACCCGCCAATAATCGGTATGAATTGTGGTACCCGCTGCCACATGTTTTTATACAAGCGGCACCAGCACCTCAGCAGTTTTGATATTGTCTGGGCACACCTCTAGTCTGAGATCCTCAGACCCATCTTCTATCATACAGTGGCCTTCAATATGACAAATAAAATTAATTTTAGACATTTATCATGACAAAAACAAAGGTGAAAACACAATCATACTTATATTTACCTTTATTCAACTTAAGCTTAACCCTATCAAGCCTCCTAGACTAAAAACATTATCATTATCTAGTGCAGAGGGCTGCTTGCCAAGTGCGACAACTATGACAATATATTCTTATTATGAAAGGTACAAATATTAGATAACTGAATGTAATTACTTCCTGCATAATATGAACTTTTGATATTAATATCAAAAGATTTATCTCCTGTTTGTAATCTAAACTCTAAACAAGAACAAAAATATTGTCTACTTTGTCCTTTAAAGACATACAGTGTATCATATTAAATTATCAAAATTAAACACTATTGGATATTCTTTTTGTTAATTTATTATTATCTTTTTACAATAAATTGATTATTTTTTATCAAAAAAGAGTGATGTAAAATTTTATGTGTTAAAGGATATTTAACTGAAGTTAGTTAGTAAATAATAATAAAACTTGATGGTTTTTATTATTGTTAGTTATATCCCAATTGGAAATTTAAGCCATTTTCACACTTATCAAATTTTTTGAATGGTTTATCATTTGTTATGGAATGTATTAGGACTTAATTTAGAAGTACCTGGGTGTTTATTATTTCCATTATAATTGTTTATAATATGACCAGATTCAAACTATAACAAACTTGTTTTCCATTCATTCAGTACAGATTATCAAAATCCACTTATGAAGGTAGGTCCCTCAATAGATTGCCTCATAATAGTGCCATAGTTGCCATGCTTGGCATGCGGGTTTTCAGCCGCAAAATTTTATTATTTTGAGATATTTCCAAGACATACTACTGCCCATCTTCAGTTTCATTTACCTTTGTAGTCTCTTTCGACACCCACAGGATATAGTAATTCTACACGGTAAAGTCTTATTGCAGGGCATATGTCTCCTCTCATTACTAAAGGGAGTCTTTGGCATGGAAGTATCCGCCGTGCTGACCCAATGAGTATTTTTGGAATTTAGATGTCTTCTAAATTGAAAAGGAAAAAAAAATATTAAAAAAAAAAATTATAAAAAATATAATTATAAAAAATTAAAAATTTTTTTTGTGGGTCCCGGGAGGGAAAAGGAGGAGTAAAATAGTAAAAAAATTAAAGAGGGGGGCGGAATTTTATGCATCTGTGTATAACACAGAACTCATTTAACAATTTTCTACATAAGGTAGTCTCCAACTTTCAGAGCAATAGTGTAAATATAAGTATCTACTGATATTAATCTGAGCCCTTTTACACTGTTCCATTTAATTATCGTGCGTTACGACGCAGATATGGAGGCAACGAAAAATCAACAACGCTATCTCGTCAAATAGTATTCTAACGTCTTGGTAGTAGGGGTAATCCTGTGTTGGGCTGTCCGGCTCGACAAAAAATCAACAACGCTATCTCATCAAATAGTATTCTAACGTCTTGGTACCTTGGTAGTAGGGGTAATCGTGTGTTAAGCTGCCCGGCTCGACAGTTAGACCGCGGGCGCGAAACGGCGCACGCGCAGCCGAGGAGACCGCGCGAAGTGATGTGACCGGCCGGAACAGTGGCGTCAGAAAAAGTAAATCAAATTGCGAGTATACTTGTGTAGTGCTGTGCTAAAGATGGTCGCTATGGTGGCATCCGCGTCTGGATACGGTACGCTACGCCGTTTTCTAAGCGCGCCCGAGGGTCAAAGCGTGGAGCAGACCGGGCAAGTGGTCACGACAACCTCGGTTGCAGTCTCGGTAAGAGCTATAACTATGAGATAATATATTTTGAAATAAGACGAAACTCAAAAAATACTGCTTTTGGACATATTAGTCGAGTGAGATTTTTATAGAAAAATCTATCAATCGTTTTCTCCGTTGTTACTGTACACTGATGTACTAACGTTATTACTTTATGCGTAAGGAATGTTGGTAATGACGCTCGCTCGGCCGACCCGTTTTTTACCTACTGTGAAGCTATGTCGCATATCAATATTTCTGTTCACACGATAACTGGAGACGATAACACACGGCACACCTACCATTTAACCACTAACACAATCGCAAACCTGTAGTCATACCTAAATAATTCTATCATAATTCAAAACGCCTTTAAGATATATATACACTCACCGGCACGGAAACTTGGCCACTCGTGAATTTGCTGATTATTTGCACTGAAACGTTTTTTTAACAGTAAATTAAGGGTAGATGCATTCAATAAGTGTGTCTAATGGTTTTAGAACATAGAAATTTAATGTTTACTTCACCAAAATTTTTCTTTTCAAGATAACATGTTTTCACTAAAATTAACATCTTTCCATTGTCACTTTAAAAACACTACAAAGTTAAAAATTAAGTCTGTTTCTTTATTGTCTATCAGTTTTAATATCGGGTGTTTCCTCCTCTAGCCCTGATAACCGCTTGCATTCGATCTGGCATGCTTTGAATGATGTTTCTGACATCAACTTGCGGTATGCTGTCCCAAGCGGCCAGCGCTGCATTTCGGAGCTCATTTAGAGTTTGTGGCGGTTTGGAGCTGGACTTTATCTTTCTTTTGAGCATACCCCATACATGCTCAATTGGATTTAAGTCCGGGCTACGAGCTGGCCACTGTAATTTTTGTATTCCAACCTCTTCCAGATATTCCTCTACACAAAGTGCGACATGCGGGCGTGCATTATCGTGCATGAGGAGGAATTGGTCGTGTCCAATGAATCCCGAATAAGGCATTACGTGCTCCTGAAGAACTTCCTCGATGTATCGAGTAGCTGTAAGCCGATTATCGACGATGACCAACTCTGTACGTGCGTCGGAACTTACACCTCCCCATACCATTATTGAGTCTCCATGGAAACTCACAGTTTGGGTGGTGGTAATGGGTAGAAACCTCTCTCCTCTTTTTCTCCACACTCGTTCTCGACCGTCTGGAGCACGTAAAGCTATTCGACAATCATCTGTGAACAACACTCTAGCCCATTGCTCGTGGGTCCAATTGACATGTTCTCTTGCGAACTGAAGTCGGGCTACTCGGTGCTGTCTGAGAAGTTCTGGACCTCGTGCTGGTCTACGAGCTTTTAAATTCACTTCCTCCATTCGTCTTCTCACCGTACGCTCACTAACATTAACGCCTCTTGCGATTTGGAGCCGCTGGCGTATCTCAACAGCGGTCAGGTAGCGGTTTCTCAAAATCTCCATAACAATAAAACGATCGTCCCGGGCCGATGTGCACCTTACGCCCCCACTGCCTGGCCTGCGGGTGTAGCGGCCTGTCTCCTGGTATCGTTTCAGTGAATACTGCATTGAGGACCGTGGTACGTTAAGCACAATAGCAACTTCACGCTGTGTCAGCCCTTGGTCAATTAATGCTACTGCTTGTGCAACTTGTGCTGGTGTTAATGGCATTTTTATGGGCTTTAAACACACCACCTTTAGTTATTTAATTAAGACACAAGATCACAATAATTGAATAACCTTACAGTAAACTTTTCACAACACACAAATTTAAAATGTGAACTTAGTCGCTCAAATGACCCGATTCAACTAAAAATTAAAGAATTCGTCATGGTGCACTTAAACATAATGAATTACCCTCTTGAACTTGAGGGTAAACATTTTTTGACATACTTGCATAACAAACATTCATCAGAAACACTTAAAGCTTTTGCTATCGCGAGATAACCGCTTGGCCAAGTTTCCGTGCCGGTGAGTGTATATATATATATATATATATATATATATATATATATATATATATATATATATATATATATTTATATATATACGTGATAGAGCCATATTGCAGCTATATTATAGTTGCAACACGATTGGGTCGGCTCGACCGGAGACTACCCTCTCACGGAATACCAGTACAACATAGTTGCTAATGCTGTTGTGTTTTGTATGGTGCGTGTAGAGCCTTTACTGGAAACAAGGCATTCCACACTAGTTCTCAGGGGTAGCTTTATTTTTATTTCTAACCATGAGACAGCGATGTGCGTGTTGCAGGCTATACCTATATGTCTATATATATATTTTTTTTTTTTTTTTTTTTTTTATATATATATATATATATATATATATATTCTATATATATATATATATATATATATATATATATATATATATATATATATTATGAATGCCTCGATACGCCTTTTTGCGATACCGACGATACCGATGCTCTCATAAAAATATCGGCGATACAGATACCGATACTTGAATTCAAAAATAAAGGTAAAATAAATAAAACACAAATCAGGTTATTTTTTTGATTAATAAAAAATACAAATAACAGCACAAACTAAATGAAACCGTTTAACACTATAGACAGTTTCGTTTGCAATGAAAAAGACGAGACAACACGCGCGTTTACATTACATTTTTGAAAAGCGAAATTTGAAAAAAATCGTTGAATCCGCCATAAAAATAACGCCGATGCCGATATATCGCAACATTCCCGTGTAGATGTATTCCTAATATATATATATATATATATATATATATATAGCTGTTATATTTTATATATACATATTCATCATAGATATCTATGGGCCAAATCATTCACTTACCAATAGTTGGACTGTGTGCACGTTTTTTATTCTTATTCTATAAAACACCTCTAACCAAATGATATTCGGGTAATAGCAAAATTAATTATATAAAAAATAGAATAAGAAGCGAAAAAAAAACCCGCTTAATTATCAATAATAAATTAGAAAATAGAATTTAAAAAAGCAACCACTCAGGTCATCTTCATCGGACTCGATTTTTATAATATCTGAGTCCACTGGCTAACAAAAGTTTCCTCCATATATGGGGCCTCCTGCTTTGCCTTATATAGGGGGATATTTCCCATAAATGGCAAGCTTAACTGGCGATTTAGTTTTCATTATTTGGAGGTGTTATCGGGAATATGCTGCGGCACGTCACCTGTTTCATTTTTCTCTATCGCAGACCTCCCCCCTTAATAACTACATTAAATTTTATTTCGAACAGTAAGGCATCATTATTTTTCATTACCTTCGTAATGACATTATCGTTGTGGTTAATTCAGCAGAGTTAAAAGTAAAAAGCTTAGAAAGTTTTACATTATAACGTCTATTATTTTGAAACGAATTAAAATCTGCGAATTCCACTACAATAAGAAGTGTCTGACCACTATAGATGCTCTCTATCTGTTGGTGAATTTCTAATCCAGTTAGATTATAAGTTATAACGTAACGTTAAAATCGATTCATTTCTTATTTAACGCTTGTTCTATATAGCTGTCTAGATTTTATAAGCGAGTGGTGTCGTGCGATATTTTTAACACAAAAAAAGTACGATCAATGGTCTACTGTGACCGACCAGAGCGGGGTCGTCAACCTAGCTTTCGTTTTTGATGTTGCGATAGAATATAATATTTCCCATCGATTGATATTTGTCCTTGGGTTCGCTTGCTTACAAAGATGAGTTTTGCTGTCGTCGGTGATGTCATCGTCATCTGGCCGGGATAAGGCGGGATTGACTGCCAAGGTTAGACCAACAGACCGTGGCTGTATCTCGTGTAGGTACACGGCTCGTTGATCTCCCGCGAAAGGAGAACATCGCACCATGGCTACCGAACCAGATCATACCACTTATTAGATTTCTACCCCTGCCAATGACAAACACTTTTTTTAAACCAAAGGCGACGTTTCAATACCTCAATGATAAGTTCTTATTAGTACATTTTACGCCTACAAGATGTTCTACTGAATTAATTAAAAGTATTCTGAATCATTTTGTCATTTTAAACAAATTATCGATAAAACTTTTATTATCTTTTCTAATCAGAGCGACACTAATGATTGTTATAAATTCTTTAACGGTGTTTATGATTCGGATATTTATATCACGAATATGAAATTGAAATATTATTATATTACACAAGCCTTAGAAATTTTCAATGCACAAAATATTAATTTAGTCGAAACTATGTTATGGATATTAGGTATAGTATATAATAGTTGTTGATAATAATTCTTGTATTACATTTACTTTAATTCAAGCTAAGAATTTTTATCTGTCAAGCGAATAGCTTTTCCATATTAATATGGTTGTTTAGAAAAAAAAGACATGTATATTTCTTGTTAGATTGTTTGTTAGGGTATAATGGAAAAATAATATTATCAAATCCTTTAATGAAGGCTCGTTAATTTGAGTTCTCGATCGCTTTTAGACTAAGCTCGGAGTAAACTCCACTGAACCAATACAGTTGTGATAATAAAATAGAGAGTGATAATCTGGATTTTTTATGGCCTCCTTTCACACTATTTCGTAGAGTCCGATATACATACCTATTACTCTCGAATTTGAATACTTTCGCAATTTATCCATGACCTTATCGTATCTACGTTTTACTGCTTTTTGTGCACAATTTAGCAACTTTTTCTCTCCTTGCATGTGAAACGTCGTACATTTATTTAGTTGTTTTCTTTTTAAATGATTTCTTAATCCGGTGTTTAACAGAAAATGTTCGTTGATTCTACGTTAAGTTACAAATAAATGTGTTAAGTTGCTACCAATGGCTATGTTGTACACAAATATTTACATATAATAGTATATGGAATGCTTAAAAAATTGGGAACAAAATATGCTTTGAGCGTTAGTTTTTTATTTATTATTTAGGCAGTACTTAACTAGTGACTACTATCTAACCTGATGCACAGATTACTGCCTGATGGTAAATGGAGATATAAGTGACGATAGTAAAGCGAATTGACTCAGCTTAACAA